GTCAGTGAACATATGCACAAAAACAGGATCCTGCTTTTGGTTATTGCATGCATGTTGTCTTTGTGCGTCTGATCCCTCAAAGAAAACTAAACACTGCAGACTGAGAAAAAAATAAGTTGTTCAGTAATTTACACAAGTCTGTTCCTGCCTCCAAAAACAATCTCAGGCTCACTGGAAACAGATATAAATACTGTGATCACATGCTGCCACTTTAAAGACAAAGTGAGACCCTAACAAACCCTTATAAACACCATAATGCTTCCCTAATGTTGGTACACGTAAAAAAAGTCACACACTGCAAAAACTAGATAATTAGATAACTCAGTTGTTCAGGTTGTTATATAAATTATTATTATGAGGTCATGTCATGCCATTAAAAATACAATTCACCAGTTGGTGAAAACACAAATATTTATAAATGGTAAATGTTGATTTGATTAATGTCTTTTTCTTTCTTTTCTTTTTTTTTTCATTCCTGTTAATCATCTGCAGGAATCAATAGAGCAAATAAATTTTTTGACTTCACTAAGGTTTGAGTTGGATTTTTTTTTTTAAAGTAAAGCAGTCTAAATATAAATGAACAGTCTGAACTACACTTAGGAACAAACTGGGAAAAACTTGGATAATCTTGTAAGAAAGGAGAGAACTGCAGTCGAAGTCAACAGTGATGAACTCTGACCTCTTGCAAACTACTAAAACAAAATGTAGCTGTTGAGCAATGCAGGATTTGCCTTCATTTCTTAATATGGCCTCATGCTATTTATTCTACTTCTTCTCAGCATAGTTAACAAAAAACAAAGTTCAAAAATGTGCATCTCTCTTTCTCTACTGGACACTCCTTGATTGATTAAAAGTTAAAAGCAGAACTGCATTATTAGAAAAATACACCTAATGATACACCTAATGCTGTTTTTAGGTTGCCATTAGAAACATAATTGCAAATATGGACTATGGACTTGTCCTGGTATTATAATGCATCAGGGTAAGAAGCGAACCACTTTCATAACCTGAAAACACAGGATGAGTCCATAAGTTTTTTGACTCTAACACAATTTTTTCAATATTGCCTCGACACAATCTCAATGGATTTTAAAACAAATAATCAAGATGTGATTGAAATGCAGACTTTCAGCTTTAATTCAAGAGGTTTTACCAAAGTAAGGAATTGAAACCATTTCACCCCATTTCTCACAAGCAATTAAATAAACTAAGACGCAGTTGATGAAATCACTGAAAGGATTCTGTTTGAAAAATGTTTTGTGGAGATTTCAGAAACTTATAGCAGACAGCATGAAAAGATGGGCGCAGGAGTGTGTCATTGACTGCTGGTTTGTGATTAACAAGTCCTGTGATAATCCTCCAGTCACACTTAGAATGACTGAAATTTACAAAATAGACTACAGTAGGGGTTAATGGTTAAGGTGTGACAGTGGGTAAAAATGCGCCACACCCTGTTAGGTAATCATAAACAAAAGTCATTATGTGACAATAACCACTGAAGAGTTACTTAATATATTGGACTCCAGCACATCAAAAGAGTAGTAAGCAAACCAGACCAGTCAAAATGATTTTTGTCATGTTCATATAAGTTCATTTAAAGAACCTTCATACTTAACAAGAACAAATCAGTGGCATTAGTCATATTTCCCATACTTTAATAAATGCATGACATCTTGCGTTACTTAAGAGCAGAGATGGGCAGTAATGCGTTACTTGTAACGCGTTACTGTAATC